CATAGGCTTCTCTCCCTCCCTCTCTCTCCTTCTCCCCCTTTCCCTCCCCCCTTTCGTGTGTGTGTGTGTGTGTGTGTGTGTGTGTGTGTGCATGTGGGTGTGTGTCTTGGGTAGATACAAAACATTAAATAAATTGACTCCTATAAAATATTTGCTTTCGTTGTTTTGGTTCCACATGTCCTTAAGTGTGTGATGGTGCGGGCTGGAAATTACAGCATTCAGGAAGCTGAGGCAGGAAGAACTGAAGTTCATGGAGACACAGTAAGACCCCATAACATCAACAACATTTAGTTGGTATGAAACAAAATAACCCTCTAAAAGCAAGAAATGAGAACAAATGGCATTCCTTAAAATTCAATACTTATTTATTGAATTTTTATATTCCTTCTATCAGTGGTAATATTGAATTAGACATTTGTGAAACACTCAGGAGAAATCTTAGATATTGATGAGGGGTTTTTTGTTGTTCTATGATGGTAAGTCAATACTATTGAAAAGTAGCTGCTTGCAACAATATAATCAATCAAAATTAATTTTTTCTCTGTAATACGTTCCCTCTCATTTATTAAAGTAGTATGTTAAAATTCTAGTATCTCTTGCCTCTTTCATTAAAATACATATGTCTACAGACTAGGTATTGTGAACTTTCCATATCACTGGTAGTTGTGGTAAATTTTAGTTCATTCAATAGCATATTGTAGGAAGAACCCACCATTGCTACACAGTATGAGCTCCTCACCAAATTGGACAAGACTCCTGCAATCATATGGAAAATGCACACGGAGAATGATTCCCTGTAGCAATTCTTCCATTGATCTTGAATGTCCTACTTTCCTTTCTTCTGATTCTTGTAGTTTCCAAGAGAACGACAGGTAATATACCTGTTGGAAGAGAATCTCAGCTAATCTCTCACTACAAGAGCAAGTTTCATGAAAACAAGGACTGTAGCTAATCACAGCGCTCATGCTACCTAGATGGACACCATCTATAACAAGATATTCATGAGAAAGCACTGAAGGACAGTGCTATCTGTCTTTAATGAGTGAATGCTGTTTTTAATCGCTACATCCTTCTGAGTTCACACTACTTTTCTTCCCTCAGATCAATTTTCCTTGCATCAGCAAGCACAGAGTTCATAGTTTCTACATGACCTTTCAGCAACTGAACTGGATACTCTAATTGGACATATTTTTTTCACTAAAGTCACACAAATCATACATTTTTGACTATGGCAGGGTGTGTAATTTTTGTAGTCAGGTGCATATACATAGTTGAATTTAAGCTAAGCTACCTGAGAACATGGTTCATTATTAGTATGAGTTTTGAGTAGATAAACATGGGTGTGTCTAGTGTGTAACATCACCAGGGCTACATTTGTACCAACACTCTCTATTGTATCAGTTTAATACTCTATCTTCTGCAACCTTTCCATTCCTGATAAGGTAACTTCTTTGGTCTCTTGTTATTCTCAGTTCCCCCACAGATTCATTATGCATCTACAACATCACTCTGATAGATACACCCACATCTTTGAACCAACTTCAGTAATATAATAGATTGAAATAACTTTGCTTGTGTAAGATTTTTCTATCATTTCCTTAAGTGAATATGTTAAAATCCTAATACCTCTTGGTTATTTTACTAAAATTCACAAAAATGTAGACTAAGTGGGAATTAACCTTGATGCAGCACTTGCTTGCTACAAAAGCTGGACCTTAACAAATATTTTAAATATATATTGGAAAGAAAGTATTATTAACACATAAGACACGGTTATGATTAGACTCTAACCTTTCCCAGGCTTCTCTTCTTAGCTTTTAAATAGTAGGAAAAAAAATGTGAGTTTTTATATAGATACTGATTTTTGCACATATTTTTCTAGGCTGACCTCACAGGGTTCTCCTCATTGCCTCTGCTTTTCTATAAGCAGAATCTACTCTTTTCTACACATTATAACATGACAAACGGGAAAGGGTCCTAGCAAATAGAATTAAAGTCGCTTGAAGTTTTATTTAGAGTTAGGTTAGAAGAGTTTTTTCTTGCAGATCTAGCTTAATGGGGTAAATGTCTTCAGAAGATATTTGTCTTTTTCCTCAAGGGAAGACGTTTTCCCTGTGGCCATGAAGAATCAAGCCATGATAAGTTCTATGGCCCCAAGGAAATGAGTTTTGCGACAATCTTTTGGAACTTTAATATTGATTCCTCCTTAGCTAAACTTCTAGATCAGAGCATAATCCATCTGAAACCCAGCTTACAACCTTGGGAGCTTCCGAGGACAGGAAACATCTGAGCTAAATCTGGACCACTCTCTGGCTTAGGGAATCTGAGATGAGAGAATTGGGGTAGAGTTGATCCAAATACATGATATGAATGCTTGAACACCAAAATATTTTAAAAGACAAAAGTAATTTTCTCTCTTTTTTAAATATCTATTTTGAAAATTATACTCTCTCTATTTCTCCTGTTCTAAATATCATGAAATTAAATTTAAGTCTTCTTTTTAAAGGGCAAGAGATGCCCTAAGGACTTCTTACTTTCCATTTGCATGCCAAATTCACGATGTCATTGTTTTTTTACCGGTGAGTAGTACTCTAATGCATATATATTCCACACTTTCTTTATCCATTCTTCTATTGAGGGGCTTCTAGGTTGTTTCCAGGATCTGGCTATTACAAATAAAGCAGCTATGAACATAGTTGAACAAATGCTGGGACTGAAGAAGCATGTGATCAAACCGGACTCTCTGAACGTGGCTGACAATGAGAGCTGACTGAGAAGCCAAGAACAATGGCAATAGGTTTTGATTCTATTGCATGTACTGGCTTTGTGGAAGTCTAGTCTGTTTTGAAGCTCACCTTCCTAGATCTGGATGGAGGGGGGAGGACCTTGGACTTCCCACAGTGCAGGGAACCCTGACTGCTCTTTGGACTGGAGAGCGAGGGGGACGGGGCGAGGGGGAGGGAAATGGGAAGAGGTGGAAATATTTAATTAAAAATAAAAAATTTGCTGAGGGGAAAAAAAGAACTTCTTTCTTAGCCACACAGTCATCTTTTTTGGAAGAAACAGCACCTCAAGAAATCCTTGAAGATGTTGTCTCTGATATACACAGGCAAAACAGCTCTCTCTGACTGTGAGGGTTCCAAAGGGAACTCCTCATCTTCTTAACATTCTCTTTAAAAAAAGAATAGTTAATTCATTCTTCCTATAAAGTCATTCTTCGGATATGTGGCAATGTTTACATAAAAACTGATCATGCAAGAAGAAAATGTTTCCATGCATTTATCTGCCTGCTTCTATTAAAGGTTCACGTGAGATGTTTTGATAAATATTGAACATATTTGATATGTAAACAGTTTGCTCACTCTTTCTTTGTTATTTGCACATTTCCAGCAGTGGCTGCCTGCAGTCTTATGCTGCATATACGAGTGTTTTGGTTGTCTCAGAGCTTCCATGCGTCACTAGTCACAGGGCAGCAAAGAAGTCACATATTTTAGGATTTAATTAGCTAAGAAGTTCTCATTCTGAACAGGCAAGGAGCTGAGAGTAAAGGTGCATGAAGAGCTGACTGACTATGTTTGGATCTGACCACAGGATGCGCTTTCTAGTGCCTTTACAAACTCATCAAAACCTATGGTTTTAAACATCCTTATAGAAAATGTTATTTAACAATATTAATTAAATATGTTATAAAAATTCATTCACCCCTAAAGTCATGGAAATAAGCAACTTGGTATAAATACCAAGATAACATATTTTTCTGTGTTTATTAATATAAATTTTTAACTCCTGACTTAAACTGTGATAATTAAAAATTACTATTTCTCCAAAGATCCCTACAGAATACATAAGCTAATAACTATTCACAATTTCCTGGAAAAAAAAAACACCGTATCTCAATAGTTGAATTTTTGATTAAATAGGATCAAAGTAGATCAAAGTACTAAGGGAAAAATGAAGTCCCAAATTTTGACCCATAGTAGATTCAATTTGATAACACCCCAAAGAGATTGTTTATTCCAATCTGCAAGCAGTATAGAAATACCCAGTAATCAAATTTTTATATAGACATTATGGGAAAAAATTAAATATTTGGTTGACTTAACAGAACTTAGAACTTGTTATTCTTTAATGGAAGCAACTTTAAAGGACAGCTGGAGACAACTGAAGACACCGATGTTGTAATTTGGAAATCTTATAACCCCTGGTTGCAGGGACTCACTGAAACAGCTTTTACTTGCTATCACACTCAGTTAGTATGTTACGTCTTGGTAAACTATGTAAGAGTTTTTATGCAGCAACCCATTTTTAACAAGCAACTCTTCCCTGTGCAGGCTCCAGATTTCTCTTTTGCGAAGCTATCTTTGAGTTAAGTATCAAAGATGTGGGGATTTCTGGAAGCAGCCTGTAATGATGATTTTACTTTGAAATGCATTAGCAAGAATTAGAAAATTAAATTTTACTCTTGAGAAGTTTATGCATATATATAAAGTATATATATTTTATTATATTTATATAAAATAACTATTTTTTATTTTATTGTTAAATATATGAAAGTAATAGATTTTATAGAAATCCATTGGGGACAGAATAGCATGCTTTTATGATGGTCTTTTCGTTTCTCTCTCCTTTCTTTCCTCTCTCTGCTCGCTCTCCCTTCCATCCTCTTTCTAGCTCCCTCGCTTCTCCCTTTTTTCATTCCTGCTTTTTTAGTTCCTCCCTCCCTCACTCACTCTCTCCCTCCCTCCCTTTCTCCTTCCATCCCTCCCTACATCCCTTCTTTCCTCCCTTCTTTCTGTATTTCTTTTTTGTTTCATTTTGTCATCAGCAGAGTGTGTAAATAAAACAGTATGCCTCTTATTTAACAAAGAATTTGCTGACATTGTTCCACCCACAGTTGTTAAAAATTCGCTGTAGCTGCCAGAAGCTGCCTCCAGATGGCGAGAGAGAGTCCATTCTCAACCCAGAATGTGGACAGTTGCCCGCTGCTGAGAATGAATCTTGGAGCGTCTGGGTATCACTGGGCTCAGCTTGGAGGTGGGTTTCGGGGAAGTCTCTGGTGGAACGCGGCGGTAAAGCATCACTCGCACTACAAGTCTTTCCATTCCTGAGAGCGAAAAGAACTTAAGCGGGCGGCACGCGAAGTGTAGGTTGCTTTGTAGTATTTCAAAGCAGCGCTGACCGTGGGCAGAGGAGCGGCTATGTGCAACAGAAACTACTCAATGGAACTGTGCTGGGTATGAACTGGTTTGATCATCCTTTGTGTATCAAATGTCCTATGTCCTGAAATGTGGCTATATGTATATATCCATTTCATTTTCACTGAGATCATGGGAGCCTGTGGGGTTCACAATGTTTCATTTTTCCCCCAAGTGTGATACAATGAAAGATTTAAAAAAAAAATGTTTATTGAGGGGGAAAAGGACATGAGTTGTAGTCTAAACAAGCACAAGATAACGATGTTAATATACTTTGCTGAGTATTCTTTTAGAAGAATAAATGAACCTAAATTGCATTGCTATATATTAAAAAAAACAAATATGACTTTTGAAACACAATGGAAAGGAATATTTCACTATTATGATTAGACACTGAAATCTTTTTGTTTGCAGGTGTGGACTTAACCATACCTGGAAAATGTCAATATTTTCATAGTTGTGTTCCAGAAAAAGCACTGTGCATCTGGAAGGCACCATGAAAATTCTGTACATGCATGCACATTCTATACGCTCTGAATGTTCCTTGAACAGATAGATGTGTTGTGTTTGTGTATACACACTAGCATATATGTGGTCCCGATACCAAGTTGCCACTGCGCAGTTACTGTACATGGCTGGACATGTGTTACCTTCATGCCGGTTTTCTGCCTAGGGAACTTAGAAAGCAGGGCAAACGTTGATCAGAAATAAAATGTGAATGAAAAGGCTGCGCTTGCTTGGCTGCTGTGTTATAACTGCCCATGTTTCATGTGGCTGTCTGTGTCTTTAGTTTTCTGTGCCTTTAAATTCTGAGGAAAGATTGGTTTTGTGCTCGGAGTGTAAACTATTGTCTGCGGTGATTGCATGGAACAAGGTGCACGGATACATAAATAGGGATTCTGTCCAGCCAGGGTTATGTATGATATTCCTGTTAGTTCTGAGAACAGGCAAGTTCTAGCTGGGAGTTTATGTGACCAGCTAGAAAACGGAAAGATCGAAGGTTTCCGAATGCCTGAAAACACGTGAGGCTGAGACTTCTTGCCATTACTCTGACACTGATGTCAGAATACATTTCCCTTCCTCCTGATGACCTGAGAATCTTGCGCCCATTGAGCAGCAACTGTACTTTTATAATTTGGCCTTCAAAAACTATCACCATTTGACCTTAGAGATGTAAACCGAGAGCTGCACAGGCAAGGATGTTTCTTAGACAAAAGCCTAAAATGCTCTGACAAGTAAGAAACTTTTGAGACTCTGCCCTCAGAGGGCTGCCAATTAAACCACTAATTTGGGCTCATTAGGAATAGGAATACACAGTACAACCAAACAGAAACCAAGTGCTAATAGAAAGTGGCCAAGTGTACGATGTATAGAATTAGAGTAGAGGAAAATCCCTGGGTTGGGAGAATTAGGATGTCTGATGAGAAGTCCTCTTCTTAAAGAATCAGTGGGAAGCATGATTTGGATAGGTGTGATGAAGCCCTAGAAAGACCTTCCAGTCCAGCAATTAGATTACTCTAGATACGTCTTTCATGTGAGTGGTGGACTAGAATCAGGTGGGGAAGTTTTTAAATGCCACAGACTTTTTCTGAGGGGTTTGGATTAGTTCACCACAACAGACAACATATTACACAGTAGTCTTGCAATGGCCTAATGTGGTACACGCCAGGAGAATCTGGAAGGAAGGTTCAGGAAATCATGTTTTATTTAAGTTTGTCTTTGATCATATCAAGATGTAATTCCCAAGGCACTTCATTGTTTTTCAGTGTTACGTGCGCGTGCAGTAGAGATTGTCTGACAACAATATCTCTACCGAATGACAGAGCAATTGAAAGGTGAAATGGAGTTACTGTGGGAGTCCAGCATTTCCCTTTGTTCTTCATCTCCACTTATGAAATACATTCTCCAACTTCCATGTCTTTGGGGTTATTGTTCCATTAAAATTGACTCATGGCTCAGATGGTACCAAACAGGAATCGTCATATCTGACATGGGATATTATTCCACTTTAACTTCATTTGTTTTTACTAGTTTAGCCTTCAGTTGATTTTTTTTAATGTTGTGCATTTAATTGTGAACTATATGATTCTTCGTGGATAACTTATCAGTTCAACTTGCTATCTCTACCCGAATCACAGTGGGATATGACAATCGTCAATGTGAAAAGTACAGAGAAGCAGGCTGAAAATGAGAGGAACATTTTGTATGCCAAAAGATGTTTCCCTGCTTATGAGAATACATCAATACGTTGGGTTGAGTATGACTTAGTTTAGGATGAACTGTCTAAACTCCTCTATAACTCCTGTGATATAAAGCGATCCGTTGAGAAACCATTAGCTGTTTGCTGCCACGGTATTTTGGGAGGTTGAACAGCATGATTGGGGTTACAGCCCCTGGCCTCAAGAGGTATTCTCTTTTCAGGCCCAGCATCTTAATTATGTCTGTGCCTTGTATGGACAAGAACAAAAGTATGAGAAAGCGAGGAAAGAGGTACAGGTTTTGTTACTTGAGATGATGACATCCAACGAGAGGGAGCAAACGACAGGAATTTATGGGGATCACTCAGTGGCAATAAGTGAATAATACTATAAATAAAATGCCTAATAACCATTAGTGGTGAGGTAACAACTTGAGAAAAATATACCTAGAGTTGGCCCTGTTGCACAAGAGAGCCCTCAAGTATAAAAAGGATTTATATGTCTTAATTTACTTTCCTCTGACTCATCTAAAAACATGAAAGGGTGAAATTCCTAAGGTTAAAACCTGAGTGTCACTGGAGTTTATAGACATCAGTCAAGCCAGCGGCGGCATTTCCGTTTCCCGCTCAGCTAATCTGCACATAGTCAGGCTTTTTCTTCCCCTCAGTGTCAACAGGACAGATTCCACAACCCAGGTTTCCATCTCGCTGGACCTGCTGTTCATGCTCTATCTTCAGTTGTGTGAAATGAGGTAGAAAGACTCCCTAGCTTACCTGACTCACTGACTCTCAGCCCGGGTAGTGGCATAGCTTAGAGACTAATTCATTAGCAATGCTGCATTGTGCTAACAGTGCTGGGTATTCAGCTTGGGAGGAAGGCAATGCAGTAGGCACTGTAAATTTTCTCCCTAGTGCCGGGCCTAAAATGATACAAACGTTTTTCTTTGTATCATATAATGGAATTGACAAGACGTTTTGAGTTTTAAAAGGCATCTTTCAGGATATCCTGTGATTTTATATATATAAAAAAATAACATTTGAAACAAGTACACTGTTTTGTAACACAACTGGGATCTTGTTTGATATTGAAAAAGAGGCACAAATATCGAAACAAATGAACAAAGCAAATACATGAATAGTAAAAGTTTTCTGTCCCTGAGACCATGCTGTAGTCTTCCACCATGAACAGAAAATGCTTCTTCTTTCTGTGTGTACCCTGCTGTCACTACTTTATACGTTCAGTGTCTCTGAATGACTTTAATGTGATTTTTCTTTAGCTTCTCTGACCATGCTATAAAGTCCATGAAGGCAGAAAGCAAACTCAAGGCTTCCTTTGGCTTTGCCTGATGTATGAAACATATGGACAGTTACAGCCGTTTACTTACTTTATGAAAACCAAATAAGGATTAAATCACTATTTTTCACACAAATTAAAATTTATGAGTATAATCACATGACAATGGGTTCTGAAGGACAGAGTGGAAGTCACTCCAGTAACCGGGAAAACTTCTCATTTGATAAGCCTCAGAAAAAGAAGATATTTCCTTGCCATTAGTTAATTGTGTGAAATTAAAGAGCTCTTTCAACATCACATGAAATGGTCCTGACTGCATAAAGCTATTCAGATCTGGCATAGGCATCTTCTCTCACATTCTCTGGAATTTTGCATAAACTCAGGTTAGGTTGGTCCCAAGTTATGACTTTTAATATTTAGGAAAACGAGAAGAATTTGTAGCAATAAGAATCATCTCAGGTTGTGTAGATACTGAGCAAAGCAAGAGAATGTTATGCACAGTTCCAAATTAGGACACAAATGCCCAGACTTAGTGGGTCTCATGGAAAAAAAAAACTGAATGTTTAAAAGAAGATTGTAGAGAGGAAAGGAAATAATGGGGAGGGAAATTAGGAAGGGAGGAGGATTACAGTAAGGAGAACACATTGTATATATGTAAGAGCACATTCAGTTAAAAAGATAGAATTAGCTACAAGGAAACTTTGAATGCATTTCAATTGCTCCTAAAACAAAGAATTAGCCAGTAATTTCTTACAGGATGCATGTTTATAAGTATGCCATGAAACGTGTAGAGATGAGTAAGGAACAGTCAATTACTCTTTTTAGAAAAGATAGAGAAGGCCTTCAGCTGACTGCCCAACAGGATGGAGATGCTTATCTGGTAGCTGTGGACCACTAACAGGAGAGATTTTGTTTCCTACAATGTATTTTCCCAGGTCCCTGACTCATTAACAATGGAGGCAGGAGGGAGAGCGTATAAACCCGCAGCTGCAGCTGTGGGCACTCAGATCATTTGTCACCTGGCATGAAGTTAGTGTTGGCAGCTCCCGAGATCCAGCACAGAGCATCAGGGAGCAAATGCCAACTGATTGTTGTTCCTGCCCAGCTTGCTGGCTAGTTCCTACTCATTCTTCAGATCTCTGCTGAAGTGTTGCTTCCCGGAGGTTCCTCTGCCCTAGCTCTCTAGAATGCATTTAACACCTTTCTTTTCATTCTCCTTGACTCCAATTCTCTTCCTTGCTCTCACATTACCACCTGAAGTTCTGCCTGCTCTTCTTCCTAGATTAGAGGCACAGCTGAATATTGTCCAACATTGCTCAGTATCTGTGCCTTGAATACAGTATTAATTAAATGGTCTGTTACCCAACGCTTTTATTTCTGTTTACAAGTTTTGATGTAAGTAAAGGCTGCATTTGACTTAGTGTCAGATAAATATTGTTTGGATAGTACGCTGAGGATTTATTTACTCATTAGATTTTAATTCATTGCTGATGTAGTCTTTAAAACAAACAAACAAAACCCCACAACTAGTCACGATTTGACTATTTG